ATTAATCAAACTGAAAAATAAAGTAAAAATTTTATCACATAGAATTAATCCTAATTAGAACTACTGATAACAAATGAATTTTCTTTCTAATTTGTATAACTAAATCAACTTATCTGGATTTCAAATACTTTTAATCTTAATCTAGCTTATAAACGCCCATCATTTTATGTCGAATTCGTCATATCACTCATGATTTTCCCCTGAGTTAATATGCTTAAGATCAAATTAAGCTTTCTTATGTGCGTTGGAGGAACTAATATGATCGGGACCGTCAGTCATTTTGTGTATGTCTAAAACGTCAATGGATCATAGATTCTATATATGTATACTTAGTTTTACGCCGAAGAATCGGCATCATCAAGTTTAAGAAGAAAAATCATCTTGCTCAAATTTATATGTAATATAATCGATGGAATATGAGTTTCTACACTTATGAATGTGTCTATAATTATTGCCGTCTTGATGTTACTTCAGGTACACTAATATTTGTTAAATATTTTACAAAGAAATTTCTTTGATGAATTTTATAAACATTTTTGGAGTGACACATAGCTAATGTGAAAATTATAACAAGAATAATTCAACAAATGATTTTAAAGAAAATCACATTTTAATATTCAAAACGAAAATAACATCTTGGCTAAATTATTGAAACTGAATTTCAAGACATATTAAAACAGATAAACAATTTTTCTTTGCTGCTTACGTGTTGTAATCGTATTAGACTAATTATTAATGTCATTTCCGGTCATGAAAGATATTGATTACTGGATAGTAAATAATTCTAAAATTATATATGTCTTTCTTTGCTGAAGTAGTTTACTTTTGGAATATTTATAAGCTTTCTTTGGTTTTTCTCTCATGAAAGATGTCTTAGTGTCTAATCTGTGAGCGGCTCAATAAAGAACTTGTCAATGCTACGTATAAAATCCGAACTACTTTGACGTCATTTTGACGAGTTAAACTCTATTTATTCTTTATTCTTTATACTTTAACGAAAAACTAAAACCGAAAATAAAATACATTAGACATAAAAAACAACAACCACCGGAAGTTTATTGTTAGGTCAGTTTACCGTACGGTTTCATAAATGATTCTCGTTGACGTCATTCTCGATGAAAATTAGTTTATTTCCGTGATTTAGTCTATTTTAAATGATGACGTTATGAACCATTGAATGATGCAATCATTTGTTCAATAGCAGTAATCAAATCAACCTGTTTCATTATCATTATTAAATGACTTCATTTTCAATAAATTTGAATTAAACTTTTTTTTCCGTGAAAATATTCTTTTTAATGCACGACGAAAATTAGCTCCAAATAAAATATATATAAAAATATTAATTGAATAACTTAAATAAGACATATAAAGTAATAAGACATCTCTATATAAGGTAAAATCATTATAGTTTTCTTTAAGCTTTAACCCATCTTTTGTTTGTTCATAAAATATAATTAAACGAAAATAATACGATGGAAAATTTAATGAAAGACATGTTAAAGATATAGCTAAAAGCATTTTTGTTAAACGTAATTCCGTTAAAATATGTCGTCGAGTCGAATCATGACAATGTCGTTTTCGACGTATTATTGATGATGGTTTATCAATAGGACTTTTATTTTTTTCATGTTTTTTTATTGAATCTGTATCATATTGTGTCCAATATGATGTTCGTCGACATTGATAACTTGAACCATTTTCAAAAACATGTTGTCGAAATGTATTTGAACAAAATAATTTTTTTATTATTAAAATATTTATTATTGATACCAAGATAAATGGTAAAAACATTGTCATTATTGTATCAATTATATTAATATGATTTAAATAATGTACATGACTTTCTTTTTCTCGACATTGTCCATATTTATCAATTTCTGATGCAAAAAATGATGGATAAATATAGAATAACAAAACTGGTATAACAATTGTTAAAATACTTATATGAGAAACTGTTGGTGTACATTTTGACATATGTTTTAAAGGAAAATTAACAGCAAAAAAACGTTCTGCTGTAAATGCAAGCACCATCCATATATGTAAAAATGATGCAACAAATGATATATATGTTTGAATTTTACATATAATGTTTGCACCATAATATAATGATCGAACAAAATAAATATTTATCCAACCGGGTAAAAGATCAAATGAAAAGAAAACATCTGATACTGCTAGTACAAATAAAAACGATGATGAACGAACATGTCTTTGAAAAGAAAAATACAAAGAGTCAAATAAAGAAAATAATTTATTTGAAAAAAAATTGTTGTTTTTTTTTTTGGTTTCTTTTATATTTACTTTAATGGTTTGGTACTAAATATAATTGCACATATGATATTTCCACATATACCAAGTAAAGCCAAACATGGCACATAAACTAATTGTAAATACTGTATGAATATACTATGAGTATATGTCGATGTTCGATTTGTAAGCAAATATTTTGTTTCATTCATTGTTTATATTTGATTTACGATGCATAGAACTTTTCCATGAAAATAATATTCTCAAAAGAAAAGAAAACGCCTTCGCACTGCAAATTTAATGTTATTCATTTTTTCTCTATTTTTTTTTATTAACGTCATTGCGTTTTTCCCTGAAGCAATTCTCATTCTTGCATTTTTCTTTTTCTTCTTTTTTTCCTATTTATAGAACAATCTCTATCAAGTCATATAGAAAAAAGAAAATTAACTAGAAAATTACGAACAAAATATCAAAGAAAAGAAAAAGGGAAAGATCGATTGAGACAAATAATTTATCATTTCAGTTTCTGAATATAGAAAGGTGATTTTTCAGAATAATAAAATAGTTTTTTAGAAAGACATAATGAACTAGGAAAGATTGACATCATTAACATATTCTAAATGTTCATTCATCCATACAATAGCTTTAATCTAAAAGTTTTTGTTCTTGTAATCTCTTTTCCTTTTTAAGAAAAAAACCAATTTCAAGACTTACGCTTTGTTTTCTCCATTTATATTCTTCGGATTACAATGAGAGCATCAACAGTAATATACTTTCCAGTCATATCTTTTTTTTTCTACGTCATACGATGAAAACTAAAATAAAGAACTCATACGACCTCAATCAACAGCATAATACTAAAAGATAGTAGGCTTGAATTCATGTTTAATCCTAAGATAAACAGAATTCAATAAAAAAATAACAAATGCATTACATGTCATCTTCATTAGTAACGGCAATAGTTCATCATTTGTTTGTGAGATAATAAAAAATGACGTTTAAATATCGAATATAATTTAATAATCTTATGATTCGACTAAATAGGCAATAAATATTACAGAGCTTTTATAACATGCTAGAATATTTATATTATTTAATATATTTTTACTAGAGATGTACGGAACCAAGCTTTTAAAGTGCTAGTTCTGATAAATTCTTTCGCAGTAGTTCCCTTCCATAATCTCTTAATTCTAGTCTAGTCTCGGTACCGACTTAGAGAAAATTACTTTCAGAATTTATTCGCATTGAAGCTGAAAAGTCTTAAGTACTTGTCCTTTGGTTGATTCAACGGACGGATGTCATTTTTTTCTTCATTTCTTCTGAATTTTGCTTTGAATGGTATGATTTATAATATAAGATGCTAAAAAAGATCATAGACAGTCTAACTGAAATTATTAGTCCTAGATCGAACGAGTATTTTCTCGCTCTCTCACACGCGGTACATCTTGATTGTTCTTGTCGCGCATATCTCTAGTTTTGACACTTTCTCAAATTTGATTTTGTTAAAAAAAAACTAAGGTGTCGACGTATCGAACTTTAAGTTACATTCTTTTGACTTTTTTTTCTTAATGGTTGTACTGACCTTGTCAAATTATCTTTAAACATTTTTGTTTTTTTTTCATATATTCGAACAATGTTTTTTGCATACAAATTTAGGTTTAAAAGAAATCAGGAAAGTCTATGAACACTGTAACATGCCAAAAGTATTAAATCCAGTAGCTTCAATATTTATTCGATATTTTCTTTCGTTTTTTACGCGTAATATGATAGTAAATCACTATAGATACTGATTCATATTCTGAGTCAGTAGAAAAATCTACATCGAAGAAATGCTCGATACTTTTGTCAATTTTCGACTGTAAGGAAACCTACATGTTAGATCAATGCAGATTTTTCTAATGATTTAAATCTCTATATACGAATCCTTATATATAATGTTTTACTATTATATATATTGAGGCTCGATACTTTCGGCGTATCGTAGATTTTACAGACTTTTTAAACCTAATTTTTCAAAATTTCTTTACAAACACCATATTTTTAAAAGGATCTCGACAAGATCTGGTCAACCATTAAAAAGAAATATCAAAAAAAAATATTACTCAAAGTTGAAATCGTCGGCAACTTAAGAAATCTATTTAATTTTATATTCATTTTCTTTTCAAAGAAATTAAAATATTTATACGAGAAAGCAAACAGCTGTTGCGTTATTTATGGCAAATGTATTGCATTGAAGGCTATGAATTATTTATTAAATCATATGCTTCAAAGAAAATCTTTCTTTGAAAAATATACAATATCTTATGAAAAAAATTGCTTCAAATAAAAATAGTGATAATAATTTATTCCTGTATGAAGTATGTTTGTGTATTTATAATACTTGCTTTTCTTCAATCTTGCAAGAAAGACATATTTTAAGCATAATCGATCTGTTAAAGAAAATTTCTTAATTATTTTGAATGATAGAAGTATATATTTTGTAATTGAATAAATTGTATATGAAATTTTCCGAATAGTTGTAAGAAGAAAATCTGACCTGTGAATGCTATCATGTCAAGCACTTTGTTTTAAATTTGAATCTCAAATTATAAAAATGTTAGAAAAATCCTCTTAACTAAATCTGATTTCAGATTTTTCGATGATCCTCATTAAAAATTCAATTATACCTCTTTTACAACATATTCAATTAATTATCCAATAGTCAATCTTTTTTCATTAAAAACAACATTTAAAGTAGAAAAAAACAATATTTATTCTTTTACAGTGAATAAAATAAGTGATAAAAGAGCTATTGCATTCATAAGAATATAATTTATTAGCTCTCTAGATAATGCTCCATTGCAATAATTGGAATAACAACAATATGTTATTGATTTTTCATGATTTGTTTCTAATTTTCCTTCTTTACATTCTCTATCAAGTGCACCACGTACAACTCTATCGAGTCGACGATCTATAGCATTATAAAATTCTTTTTTCTATAAAAAGACTTAAAGACAATAGATTTTTATTTAATTAAATAAACTTACATAACAAGATTTAACACGTGAGAAAATACCCACAAAAGATCCATATGTTTGTATACCAAAAGTTGACCATGGATACGGACAATATGTACAATCATAACATTTCAAGGCGAAAGTAAAATTAGTAAGATATGAAAATATGCATAGAGATGGTATTCTGAGAAGTACAAAGAACATTTTTTAAGTACTTACTCAGAAAAAAGAATTCAATGATTTTTGGCGCTGAATTCGAATTAAATCAATAATTAAAATTTAGAGAATATTTGTAAACTACCTAAGGATTTTTTTTTACAATGCATATGTAAAAATAACTAAGATTTCTATATTATTTTGAATGATATTTGAATTTTACAAAGTTATTTCTATCGACTTTTTAATTGATCTGAAGAGTTTATAAGAAGTTCTACTCTGAATGATAATGACTAGACACAAAAAGCTGAGCATATAACGAGTTTCGTAAACCTATGTCATTGTTGTTTTCTAATTCGAAACATTCTCAATATTTTCACGGTTCAATTTGATATTTACACTGTTTTGTGTAGAATTAAATTTGACATCCAACAGCATGATAATAAATGTTGCATAGAGTAAATCTGACTTTTGAAAGTATAATTTTCCTCACTGGATTCAACAATACTGATAATTATTAGTTCTAAGTCTTTTTCATGTACACCATCTTCGGAAATCTTGAAAAGATCGTTGAAATATAGAACACAATGTTCTCTATCTATTAGTATGAAGTAATTTATTTTTCGCATTGGTTATGATGAGCAATGGCTTTAAACAAATTAATAAGCATTAGCAGAGAATAAAAAAGCGCAGTAAAATTACTGAGAAAGCGTAAATCTTTTAAATTTGGTTCCCATAAGGTTTAACATGTTTGAAAAGCAAACTTAACAGTTTCTTATAGCCTGATGAAACACGAGAATTATATGCTTGAAAAGCATTTCACAGTTAAATGGGTAAATGCAGAGTGTTAGATTCCTGTGTGAATATTCACCTACCTTTTTGAGTAAACTTCTTTACAAATTCAAAATCTTTAGGGTTATATTAGTCTTTCCAAGGCATACAAATAAACACTAGAATTTTTAAATCCGACGCCGGTTGATTAAACGTCTTTGAACTCTGGACCGAATCTGGTTCCTTACTCCTCAGTTCATCGAAATGTTTTAGTTTGAGAATAGATCAGAAGATACAAGATATTTTTGATTGATTGTTTACATTCTGCTACTAACACTTTCTACACATTTCTTAAACAATCTTGACGATGATTTTAAAAGAATCAAATCATAATTGACTGTTACTGTTAGAATACGATCTTTTGACCCAGATCCGAGTTCGGTGGAATTCTGGACCAATCCTACTACTCTAGGTCAGATAAATAAGTAGAATCTTCAGATTTGTTATACGAAGAAATATTTCGGAATGTTGTAAATGTTGAGGCTTGACAAAATTGATTTATATGCAAATGAAGGCCAATCCTTAATTTGATGTATTTAGATGAACGTTGCTTTCAAATAAATTAACATATTATTGGATGATATCTTTTCTTCTAATAAAAAAAAACATGAGAATGTGATGATGCATTTTTTGAAATCGATCGACATGCTATTTAATTGTAAAGAAAAGGAAAACGCTTTATTTATGAGCAAGTATATTCATTTGATTACATGAAAATTGCACTTAACTATCATTTATTTATTTTTTAGCTCTCGTTATTGCTTCGCTAGATCTTTTAAGATTTTCAACAACTTTTTCTTTGATAACCATTTCAATTTCATATTTTGAATCTCAATTCAATCTACTCAAGTAAATGATGTACAGTCTGTTTCAGCTGAGAGATTTCAAAAATATGGTATAAAGCGAGGTAAAGAAATACGATATTCAGATCGGATAGCAAGATTTTCCTGTTTACATTGAAGAGCAAATGTAATCGAGTAGAGTCAACCGTTGAACACGATCGTCATGATATTGCTTCGAAGTTCCTAACAACTTGACCATTGCCGTTCTTGTGCTGTTTTCTTTCATGTTTCACATACATCTGCAATAGGCCATGCATCAACATATTTACCATTAATATCTTTAGGCAAAACTCAATCATTAAATAATTCATGAATAGTTCATATTATAATCTTTGTTCTTTGTTTTAGAGTCTTCTTCATTTTGAAGCATAATGTTTTTCTCAAGATATCTTTTAAATTTCTTCACAAACAACTTATTTAACAAATGTAGCGTATCAAATGTTATTCATATACATTCATCTTTTGCATTTATCTTTCTCTTGCTTTTGTAATTATGAAATATCTTCAGTATTTTATTGGAAACCTTTCAACAATATATGTTGATTGATTTCACCAAATTGATGACTACATATACATGTTTATAGTTTTATAATGAAACTAGAGATATCATTTGATTGTAAGTTATTTAAAAGACCGATACACGTACTCAATACTCATCGAGATACAGTGAGTCGGTATACGTTTGTGTTTGCATATAAACTAATTTTACCGAGCGCTAAAACTTATGAAATATTTTGTATAGAACAAACTCTAAAATGAAAGCATTAAAGCTATATTATAAATAAAGGCCTACTAATTATTTCAGAGTGTGGACGAATGTCTTCTCTTCACTAACATCCAATTTTGTTAGACGAGACACTCGAACTACCACTATAATAAATGAAGAGAAACAAATGAGTTTACACATTTGAGTACCTTTTTTAGGTTTTTTCATTTTTACTATTTATCGATGTGAATCTTTAGAAACGGCTTTCGAAACTGATTCTATTCAAGTTTTATTTCGAATGATTGAAACATTTCGTTAAGATTGTCTGCGCTTGTTGCTGTTCTGAAGCTTGATTATCAGAAGTTCAAAGATAGTGTGATATGCATGATCACGATCTATGCTCAGTTGATCTTCAAAAATGTCTTGAAAACGAAGTATGACTGTCATTGGACCAAATATATATTAGTTATCCGCCTCACCTAGTTACGTTCTATCACAGAGCAAGCGAATGGGTGGATAAAGAGAAGACGCTCATTCATAGATGAATGAACTTTTGTTTTGCTTGAAAAGCATCATTCGATTATTCGATTCCTTGTGTAATTTTATCACATCACAATCGAATCGAATACATTTTTAACAAATCGAACCATGCTGCTCGTACACTATTTCAACTTACAGAACAAATCTCTTTTCGCTGCTTCATTCTTTGATAAACACCGATTTACACTTGATGTACATATATTGCTATCCTATTCTATAATAGATAAAAATGAGTTCCATACATCGTATGACTCATCCGCCAAGGCCAAACAGAGATTGACTAACGTGCATGCTTTGTTTGCGTCGCTTTTATGCAACGACAATGCATTTGCACACGCTATCTTTGAGTAGCTACTCTCACTTAAGTAATATAAGTTCGATAAGAAGTCGACGAATGGCGCACTTTCTTGACTATCAACGATGATTTTTTTTCTTACTTGCAAAAAAAAACACAACACAAAACAAATATTCAAATGAAACGAAGTTGCATCACATTTCAGTGCCGTTGTGAAAGCATATTTTTGAAGCACTGTTCTGCAAAGTAACGAACAAAAATGCTAGTAAAACGCATCATCGCGAAAGAAAACGTTCTCAATTTTCGATTACTACACTCTGAAAGCTTGTTCACACTGGATAGAATATGAAACTGCTTTTTTTAAAAGTCAGTTGCAGCTATCACACTGCCAATAATTAAGTAGTCACACTATTGAAGTATGACTAGAGAAAGCAAAGAAAAATGGACAGCTTCTCATTGTTATCATTCCAGTCACTCGAAGGACTGGAGTGTTTGAAAAACTATTCATTTCGAATAGTTCTCATATTGAGTTTCTCATAATCGATCTACATGAAAACACCTTTTTATCAACATAGACCGAAGTCACATACTGTCTGAACTTCGATTTCATAATTGACTAAGAACTCTTTGTTATCATGAACGAAAACTCGAACAGCTGTTGAACAATTCCAGTGATTTATATCTATGAGCATTTTTAGGATTTAAAATGATGATATATTAAACGAGAACCGGTCTTCTCTGAATTATTCTGCACTTGTTGCCTATCGTTGTTTTTCTGACGACGAGGTGCTCTTAGCACATACGATGATGAAGAACAGAGAAAAAGTACACGAAGAAGAGTGAAAATCTCTTCTGGATGGTTAGCAAACATGCAATGTTATTGTTTTTATAACCAAGCTGACAGGCGACTGATGCATTGACTAATAGTAATAATATAATATGAATGTCATACCACTTAAGTTTGATTTATTCAAAGGAGTTTTATGTGACATTATCTTTGTACGGCATTCATTTTTTAATGATAAAGTTCGATCAAAGTCCAATGATGATAAATATGAAGTTTCAGTCCCGGTTTTCTACAAAACAAAAGCAACTCAAAATGAAAATTAAATCATAAGAAGCACAACTCTATTCTTTATCAACTTGAAGCTCCATCAGCAAACATTACCTTTCCTCGTTTTACATTGGTCAGAGAGTTTCATTTTGATATCACAAGATAGAAAAATTTCGGTAGATTTCATTGCTATATCTTTTTTAAATCAGTCTTTGTCTTATTGTTTTTTTTGTGAATCGATGGTATTGACTTGTTCAAATATTAAATTGCAAATTGTAACGAACAATTTTTGTTTCCTTTGATTTAAGTAAGTTTAGTAATCAAAACAAAATAGCCTATCAAAAATCAGTAATTTAATCTGACTCATTCGTTACATAAGATTACGTATCATACAATAAAATGACCTGGACTATGTCTATGATACATGATCGTAAAGCAGAAGAATGTGCGAGAATGGTTTTATCTTCAAGTGCTCGAATATTATCTATTGTTTGTTGTATAAATATTACTAATATAAGTGCAGAATTTTGATTCTTATCCCAATAAAACAACAATCCTAATTATTTAATAATACGAGCTATAAGTGTTGTCAAGTTAGTGCAAAATACACGCATATTGGAAAAAATGACACGAAACTATCATCAAATACAGGAGACAAGTGGTAAACGACAATCAAACTTTATGCCTGTTTTCACCGTTGTACAACAACAAAACGGCCATCGCATGAGCACATTCATCAATGCTCAACATCGATTATCTCTCGCGTCACAAATATCTTTGCCACGCGGTGCTGAATATCGTTCACAACAACGTTTACCACCCAATGGTCTAGAATCACAGTCAAATATTCTGCTGACCGATATAACAAAAATGATGAAAGATAATCCTAAAAAGTTTCATACTAAGTCAACTAAACGACCAAAACCATCTCAACATCGACTCTTATCTCATCTATGTTGTGTTGTTGATAGTAAACAACAATATGGTGATGATATACACAAGTTTGACGCTTGACATGATCTCTTTCAGATCATATGATAATCTTCCAAAGGTCAAACTCAAAAGCACGTCGCCATTGGAACTCAAGATTATTTCGACAATGCTTTGACAATGTTCGTTCTTAAATAATTTCGCCAAAGACTGAACGCTTCGACATGCAGATTAATATTTCTATTATTAATTTGCAGTTCAAATAAAACTTTGGACATACTTTTTCTTCATATCATGTATTCATTTGTAGAGAGAAAAGAGTACAATAAATATACGAAGAAAAAAAAATGAATTCGCATCTGTCTAGATATAAAAGCTTGGTAAATTCAATGATTTTCATCTGACAACTGTTAATGATAGTTGCACTAATAGTTTTCTGTGGTGAACTCAGTTTCGACTTCTTTCTAGAATGTAACAAACATCAGTAAAAGAGCATAGAGATTCGGTATCGCCGACACATCAATGAAAAATCATTCTCATTGCAACTTGAAAAAATGAACATAATTCGTCAAGAACAATCGAAAATAGCTGAAATAATTATTTTAAAAAAATATTACACAAATATAGATGACAAAGAGTTCACCTTCACTTTTTTCTTTTTTAGCATTCCCTGCTATGTGCTATGGCTGAAAGTTAAGAGTGATAAGTGACGAAAGATAAACACTGGAGCATATACATATGAAATATAGTGTGAAACAAAAAATATTTTGCACTGCAGAATATTGCATGAACTTCACTTTTTATTTTTATTTGTGCTTTTCTAAAGATATAATAATCTACTTTTAATCGTCAACAGAGTACAAGACACGACCAGCACATGTGTCGTATATCGTGTACGAAACTCATCGGTCGTATAAGTGTACCATTATATAAACTAGGTAGACATATTAATATATAATTTATTTGTGTGGCATCAACACTATTATGCAATAGCAATCCTGCATTTATGGTGTAGATTACATAACTTGTTATTAGAATGCAGTTTATACGTAGAATTGTTTTTCTTTTTCAACTCAAAACAAGATTAACTGCTATTAATTTAAAATTTTTGGTAAGCAAAAAAAAGTAGAATATCGATTGATTATTCGACGCGTTGATACTTGAATATAACAGACGACGTTATGATGATTGTATTTTGTACATACACATACAAAAAAATTATCAAATTGTGTTAGTAAAAAATCAACAACTGCTATATTTACATATGTTTCTAAAGATTGCCATCGAGTGACGATATCATTTTTATTTGTAGGACTTTTTTGCGACAACTCACGATGCACTTTATCGTTTGGTAAAGGTTTGATTTCTTTATGTTTTAAAAAAGTTTTGGTGTGTACTTTATTGAATATTAAATTGCATCCAGTGTAACAATTCATTCTTGTCGAATTTTCGATCAAGCTACTGGTAGAGTAAGTATTCTAAAAGAATGCTTTTTTTTTCTTCAAGTGTAGGCTTCTTTTATATTTAGGGTATGGAGATTTTTGCATTTATATTTTTGGCTGCTAATGCTTTGGCTGTTTTCTTGACTTAACGAGATGACTCAGTGCCTACTTATTAGTAACAATGATATTTGATAAACGATAAACAATACATCGAATTCATGCATTAGATTTTCCATGAAGTGGAAACGTTAAAAGCAACCTATTTGTATTATTTCTTTTGATAGTGTAGAATTTTATTTATCAATTTTAGACATAGCCTAATGTCCAAACTGTTATACTAAATTGCACTTTTCATTCAAGAGAAGACTTAATCTCTTGTTTTTTTGTGTCCTTTCGTTGGTGTTGATATAGTCACGTCTATTTCTTTGTCTTCTTTCCTTTATTCATTGGACTAACGCTTCCTTTCGTTTAATTATAAGTGTAAATTTATTATGAAACTAATATTGGTCCGGGACTTAAAGATATTCAGTTAAAATTTGAGTAAATCGAGAATGCAAACAGTTACTATTAGTAATGTGCGACTTTCATCAGTTGATGGAGAGGCGCATGGGATAGAAAACCTAACGCCTAGATAATTGGCTACAATAGTTAGTTTATGAAACCTGAATAAATCAAGCTAAAGCTTTCAGTATACATAGCCCAACTGTAGTGCAATGTTCTCTGAAAATATCATTGATAAATCTTTTAATGGTGAGGAATGGTGTGTCAGTCACCATTTAGTTCTACATAAGACTCTAATTCACTCAATAGATTGACAAATGAGTTCAACTTTTGGCTGAATAAATATAATAATCTAAACTTCATATCCATGCAATAATACGATAGCTTAGTAATATAATTAAGTAAAAATGGGAAAAATATAACTAAGGACTGTATTTCTTCTTAGAAAATCTGCAATATTCTCTCCAAAATATGTTAGAGATAAAAATCATTTTACATGAGATTTTCACTGTCTTTGCTTATTCAGATGACCAAACTATGATATTGTTGCATAGATATGAAGTCCAGATTATGGTATTTATTCAGCCAAAACTTGAACACATTTTCCAATCTATTGAGTGAATCAGAGTCTTATGTAATACTAAATGATGACTAACACACCGTTTCTCACAATTAAAAGATTTATCAATGATATTTTCAGAGAACATTGCACTACAGTGGGGCTATGTATGCTGGAAATTTAAGCTTGATTTATTCAGATATCATTAGAGAATATGCCTTGTCTTTTAGAGATTTCACAAGTTAATTATTATAGCCAATCATCTCATCCTTAGATTTTCTTTAAACTTATACCCCATGCGCCTCTCCATCAATTGGTGAAAATCATACATTACTAGCTGTTTGCATTCTCGATTTACTCAACTTTTAATCGAATATCTTTAAGTCCTCGACTGACATTAGTTTGTAGTACATAGAGGTCCATAGAAATATTCTTAATTTTCATTGTTTAAACTTATGTAAAAAGGTTGAAAAACTATGTGTTGATGAAAAAGACTAACAATAAGAGTATAATTAAGTCTATTACCGACCGTTCCTTAAACGCTCTTAAGCCTACTGTGAAACGGAAGAGAAGTTTTTGTTTCATGACAAAAAATAATATCTTGAATGATAACCTTCGCATACAGGCACTCTTATGACCAGTGTTGTTTCATCACTTTTTTTAGTCTGCTCTCTCTCGTTTTATATTCCCGATTTCTTGCATTTTTTTCTTTATTATGAACTGTTTATACCACTTTCCTATTCAAAATCGTAGTTCGTGATATTTCGAAGTCTAGTATAGTTTGCTTACATAACAGACGATTTCAACACAGACATCGAGAAAACTAGCATTTTTTTTTGTTCTAAATCTTTAAATAGATAGAAGTTTCATTAGAGCTATCTCATTATGAAGAAAACTCTCAATGAATCTCTCATAGAGTAATAGTTTCAGATTGTTTATTTTTTTGATCTTGGAAACTGCCTATAAAAAAGAAATTTTAGCAGCACTTTCATACACAGAGAATTTCTTTTATATTTCTTCACAAACAGAAGAGCATGCATGCCATCTGAAACTTTTAGAATGAACTAATTTCACTTAGAGATTGTTGGTAAAAATTTTGAAATAGATGTCAGCAGGACATCTGATATGGTTCAGTAAGATCTAGCGAACAAATATGACATTGTTTAGCAATTATTTATTTTGCATATATTGGATATACCAATGTGATTGAAACAACAATAAAGAAGCAATGAATTGTGTCAAAGTTTCTTTAGAAAGAGAATAGTTATTCTTTAATGAAAACAGATGCAGCATACAACAATTATGAATTTGCTTAGTCATAAAAGTCACACAGAATGAAAACAGCAAAAAAAAATGTTTTGTTCGGCTTTTATTGATGTTTAATGTAATTTTTGTTCTTGTATCTCTCCGTGCGTCATCGTTTCATTGATTTTATTTGAATAGGACAGTTTTTCATCATTAAAATATGTCGTTTAAATTTATTATAAATACGAACAATAAGATTTTTTTGTCCAACTCTACGCGTGGACCATTACTCACAGCATGTTACGAACATCATCATACTATGCTATCAGCAAAATGCTATGTTGTCGCTCTGTCTTTTGCATACGTCATTGTAACACTTGAGATTATATTCTACTGTCTTGTGTTTTTTTCTCATTCAGTAGTAACAGCATCTTGTAATATAAATAGCCGATGTTTCATTTAGTTTCTTTTTTTATTTACTCACTACATTCGTTTAATATTCTTTATCATCTACGGTTTTTATCTTTATCGTGCATCAACAATAGTGAATCTTCGCTCCATATTTTTCTACCAACATAATGCGAGGCGCTATAGACGTGGTTAAACGTCTCGCTCACACTCCATTACGAAATTTACCCATGAAAATTTTTACCATGCAGCAATCCCTGACTAATTCATTAATTAACAAAACTCACACAGGTCTACACATGGCTCAACCATATGAAATAATCAATGTTACTAACGTTGATACTCAAACGGAAACTAAATCATGTGATAAATCTAATGGTTGATCGGACAAATATTGATAATACATTAGAGGTATTGATCAGGACTAAATTAACATGTATTATCTTTATACACATTATCCCAATGTGTCATATAATACTTAGTGAGTATAACATTATACTATTCGTATTTATTCTTTGATTTATATTAGTTCTTGTTGAAAACTTTTGATTATAGATCATCTTTGTGTTCATAATTCAAACGAATCAAAAATTACAAACAAGTTCGTACTACGTGTTTGTTCTCAGCACGATTGTGTCAATCGAATTTTGTTTTTATTATTATTTCCAACAAATATATTTATTACATTATAATAAAAGAAAATTACACTACAGTGTTTGATTGAAGAACACAAAAATTTATTTTGAATAATTTTTTTAAGTTTAGCAATAGACTCATGATCAAGTGAATGTCAATGAAGTACTTGTAAATTTTCTTTCATATATTTTTCATCTGTTGTATCAATTAAAAATCGAAAGAATATTTGAGCTGATGTATCATGAAGTTCTTGAGCAAGGTGTTTAACAAGTAGATGACTAAACCTTTGTGGA